TAAAGAAATATGTCCAACTGTTCAATATTGTCCTGATAAGAAAGGTAGATAACAAAATTCACTTTATGAATAACGATGATTTTTGATGCTAATGATTTCCTTCGATTTATCAGATTGGGCACTAACATATGACGATGGTCCTTCGTAAGTTACATGATGGTTTTTGTTTATGTATTAAATACACGTTATTTAATCGCTAAATATATATATTTTTAAAATTTTAGAGCTAACTCATTGACAGTACTCGATGCACTTGATGCTAGAGGTATTAAGGCAACATTCTTTGTAATTGGAAGTAGAGTTTACGAAAATCCCCAAATTCTCAAAAAAATTGTTGACTCGGGTAAGTTCATGTTAAACATATTAAGTTGGAATGCATGCGTATGTAAAAACGCCGACCCAAAAATGGATGTTACACGAGAATCTTTGTCGCAGATAATTGATATACATATGGTATTTTTTTTTTTTTTAGGGCATCAAATTGGATCACATACATGGTCGCACACACCACTCACCTCTCAATCCACAGAACAAATTATTGCAGAAGTCAAATGGACAGAACAGGCTATCAAAGAGGCCGTCGGTCTAACACCTAAATGGTTTAGACCTCCCCAAGGAGATTTTGATGATAGAGTACGTGGGATATTGACACAACTTGGTTATAAAATTGCAATTTGGGATTTGGATACATTTGATTGGCATTCAATGTCCGATCCAACCTATGATTTAGCTTGGATTCCAGGAAATTTTTCAGTTTGGGTACAAAATACAACTTCTACAGTTGGACATATTTCTTTAGAACATGATCTTTATGACAAAACTGCTTCGAAAGCAGAAGAAGCCATGGATATTGTTATGAAGGCTAAATTCAATATACAAAGCTTGAGCGTGTGTTTGGGTGATGAACAACCATACGCTGAACAAGTCACACTTCCCAAATCCAATCCTGTTGGAGGTCAAGAAGGAAATGGAAAATCTCCAAAAGATAATAACGGTAAAACTCCAGCCGAGAAACCTCCAGTTATCAGCGCAAACGGTTCAAATTCAATTAAAAATGATGCATTATTAAGTATTGTATATGGATTAATGATGATGTTAGGAATCATTTATATCTAAGGCAATTTACATAATTTCCATAGAAAGGGACTATTTATTTAATATTAGAAATGATCGCTTTAGATTTATTATTCAAATTTAATTATAATTCCAGCAACAAAAAAAAAAATTATAAAATTATCATAATACAATACATTTATTTTTCTATAGTTTATTTTATTGTCAATTAAAAATCATTCGATCTGTTATTTACATCTTTCCAAATGTATATCTTTAATTTATTACTATATAAATAACTA